CATTCATCTCTAGGTTTGATTATGATATGATGATATCCACTAAGTCAATTTATCTTCAAAAACACCTTACACCATGCCAAATAATCAAGCATGTCTTTGCAATGGAGAATTGGGAAATGATACTTGGTAGTTATCTTATTGATGGCTCTGCTTTCAACATACACATCCACCACTTATTTCCTTTCTTATGGGCTAGAAAGACCAGTATTGCATAGGGACTCATACTCTCACGAATGCATTCTTTCTTTAGTAAATCCTCAATTCGCTCCCTTAAAATCCCAGTCTCCTTAGGGCTCATACGATAGTCAAGATGTTTTTAGCAAGATAAGCCTTAGAATTAGGTCAATCTGATGTTGAATATCTCACATAAGAAGCAAATCGTTTGGTAGTTCATTTGCGGTCAACTCTTTGAAATCTTCTAGGATCTCTAGGACTTCTTCTGGAATTGATGTTTCCTCTTTTACAACACTCATCATCCCTTTAATCACCACTGGAGAGAAACATTCAGTTTCAGCCTCATCAAGCTCCTTTTCACTTTGTGTCATCACCAAGAAACTGGATTTCTTTCCTCCTGGATTCTTATCAAAGTGGAAAAAAGAGCTATAATAATTCTTGTGTGCCCTATGTAACATCATCATGTTATCCCGTCTTCGATAAGTGATATCATTATCAAAGTGCTAAGAACCCCCACAAAGTACCTCACAAAGTGATATCATTATCAAACTACCAAGTAAAATATGACAAACATCCATTTCAAGAAACCCACAAAGTACCTCTTGTTTGTAATGCTTTTCGATGGCGATAGGTGTTAAGTGAAAATTTTGAATTAAATTGAACCATCTTTCTTGGCATTTTTCAACTCAATTCTTATGTTTTAATAGATTTATTTTTTGTTCCTGTGTGATTCTTCAAACATATTTCAAATTCCTTTGATGTCTTGATGTGTGTGTTATTGTGCAAAATTTAGGCATAAAACATCAAAGATTAAGACACAAGTGAAGTTGACAATGAAGCCAAAGAAAAGAAGAGGAATCAGCATGTTCACCGAGCGAGCACGAGCGAGGTGAAGGCGAATGCTCGTTGTGTGAGGCCCAGGCAGAACCCCAGCGAACCAGCCCAGATTAGAGGCACTAGGAAAATGACCCAAAGTTCGTTGGGCCAATCTGTAGCGAAGAGGTTCGCTGTGTGAAGAAGTGTTCGCATGACGAACTTATATATTTTCCAAGGGAGGTTTAATTGTTCCTGAGGCACTTGAAGTGCCCAAAAGTGGTATTCACTTGGAGAACAGGGAGGTTGCTAGGAAAACATGACAAATTTTTGTTTTACTATATATGTACTTTTCTTGCTTTTTAGAAAACAACTTTTGTAACTTGTACTTTTTTCAGAATAGAACTTTATCTCTCTTCATTTCTTTGCATATTCTAGAGAGAGAAACATAAATCCTAAGAGGGAGAAGGTAAGAGCTTTGATTTCTTGTTGGGTTTAGATGCAATCTTTTGATACCATATGTATTTCATCTAATATATGTTCGTGAATTAGTTTTTATTCAATATTGATGTTGTCTTTGATTTCTTATTTGTGGGTCTTGACAAAACCTTTTTAAAATCTTAGATCTTAGATATTCATCTATCAATGAGAAAACTTTTGACATGGTTTTGTACATTGATATTCACTAGTATCTTTGATTGTATTGTGTTGATTAGTAGCATGAGTAGGATCAATACAATATTGTAAGGATGCGAGATAATAGAGATGAAGAACTATGTTCACTTACATTTGACAAGTTAGTTGAATGCATGTAAAAAGGGTTAAGTGTATGTATGTATTCTGACCATGGCGTTTTATATGAATCAATCATGAAGCTGATATGGATGTCATCTTTGTTTACCTGTTTATCTTTGATTTGAACTGCTATAGAAATATACTCTTTAGATCTAGATCTAGAATGATTATTTGTTAGGTTATAGACTCTAGACATAGGTTTAGGCTTAATATTTGCGTGAGTATCAGTTCTTAATGCTCTGTGTTGTTGAGTTGTGTGAGACATCACCAATGAGGCAGTACGGTTGTTCTCTCGATGTTGTGTTATACATAACCTCTTTTGTGGGTGATACATGAGGATATTAGACGAATGATTAATTTGTGTTTAATTGGTTAGAATAATGCATATGTTATAAATTGATGAGATTCAATCCCAACAAGGCTCCGTCTATATTAAAGTCTTTACTTTATATTTTTTGTCTTTACATTTTCAGCTATTATCTATTGTATCGTTGATCTATCAACAAATAATCACAAAAAGATTAGAAATGTAGAGATTGTTGAACAATGTTCTAAATTCCGAAGGGAATCCTTCCGAAACTAAATTTTGGTTCTTGAAACTTTATTGTAGTTCGAACAATAGGAACTCTGGAGGCCAGTGTTACTCGAACATGCGAGCCCTTGCTTACCCAACCAAGGGTGTATGGAATCTCATTGGGTTATATGGACAACTTCAAATATTCTACCAATTTCTGTGACACCAAATTCTCCTTGCTACCATTATCCACGATCATATTACACACTTTTTTCTTCATAGAACAATGTATTTTTACAAATTCTTAAGCTTCCCTTCATCTTTAGAAGCTAGTAAAATTCTTTGTAACACAAAATTTACCCGCTCATCAGATTCCTCCTCTACAAGCTCAACCTATGCATTTCATCTTTCTCAATTGGAATTCATTTTCTTTCCTCCTCTTCTTCCATTTGTTTTGCAACAACGACGACTTTCATTATTGGGCAATCATTTGATTTGTGACCTCTTCCATTAGAATGATAACATATGTCTCCGGTGGGTTTAGCATATGGATTATTCTACCTCTGGACTAGTGTTTTACTCTGGTGCACACCACTAGAGTTTTTAGGATTAGGCCCCTCATTTCCAAGGTTGGAATCCCTAACTGTTGCACTATTTTCCTTGACATGTATCTTAGTTCAATGTTATTCTAGGGTGAATACCTTCTAAAAGATGAGAAATTTTATGGAGATTTATCCCTCAATTTTGACTTCAAATCTAGATTGTATGCCTCAACCACGGTCCTTATAGTTTGCAAACCCATCTTCTCCTACAAAGATCTATTTAATCCATTGATGTATCGAGCCACCTTCTGACTCTCTAATTCTCACAATTCATTACGATCAAAAAATGCAGGAACTTAGTTGTCTATTTTATCACAGTTCTCTTTCCCTGAACACGCTTAATATACATCTTATAAAGAATATTTTCATAATCCTCTAGTTAAAACCACTCCAGCATCAATTATTTCATTCTTCATCAAGTTCTGACTGCCCATTCCTTTGTCTGTGCCTCTGAATAACAAGTTTATCCCACCATATAACAACAATACTCTTCAGTCTAGTCACCACCATTTTAACTTGCTTGTTCTCATGATGCCTATGGCATTGAAGAATCTATCAACGTCGATTTTCCAATTTAGAAAGACCTCTACTCTCATCGTTCTGTAGAACAATGGAATACCAACCTTCAATCGATAGTCATGGTTATACTGTCGATTCCCATGATCAATTATCTTTTCGTCTCAGGTTCTTCTTGTTTAGGACTCGAAATTTTAGCAATAACAGTGTGATTATTTCCTCCACGTGGAACCCTAATTTGTTTTCCTCTCGTGTCTCTTTGCTGGTTCCCGTTGTTGTTGGGGTTGTTCACCTGATTTGTTAAATTTGTCGTCTTTTCAGTCAAAGCAGCTAAGGCCGTGGTAAAATACGTAGTAATTCCCTTAAGGTCTATTATAGTCACCGGTTGATCTCCCATGGCGGGTTAAGCTACGAAAAGAAATAGGAGAAAGTATGCTTTGGTGTCAGATGACGCGATCAAAATCACGAAGGATTAACAAGTGTTAAACATAGAACGAAAACACAAGTTTGCAAGTAACAAACATGTTAGATAAGACTTTGAAATCCACCAGAAATAAAAAAACTATTAAATTTTATTATGATGAAAAATAACCCTGACGGCCACACTCAAAAATGTTTAAATACAAAAAAAAAACTCTAATCGTCTTTTAACCAAAAACAAAAATGAAACAAAAAACTGAGAAAAATATCAAAATGTTGTATTCGGGCCTAATTCAAACTTGGATGAACTCATGAGCCGATTCCTTATCTAAAAATGTATAGTAATAGTCATTCTGACATTGAACTCCAAACTTACACAAATTTTACTGAACCTTTTCAATGCGCTACTTCTTCTTTGATACGCGCGACCAACCTTCCTATATCAAATATGAACCAACATTTAATAATAGATTACATACTTAAAAAGGTCTTGTATTAAAATTTGTCTTAGATCTTCATTATCTCCTTTATCACATTTTTCTTATTACAATCAAAGAAGTGTCTAAAGATATCATGGAACTTGGAAAAACAATAAATTAAAAATTTAAAAAAAAGAAAAGAAAAGAAACTTTCATTAATACCATTACGAATAACAGAAGAGTAAATTCCACACAATCATCAAATACTGATACAAAATTTAGGAAACTAATCTTTTAACTTTTAAAAAATAAATATTTTAATATTTTAATTTTTATAAAAATGAAAATAGAAAATCTATTTTTCTAAAAGTGTCTAATCGTTTTAACACAATCCAAAATAATATTAATGTAAGAGAAATGCTATTTAGTACGAAATAATTTGAAGAAGAAATGCAAAAATGTACCCATGTCACTGTTATATATTTGATAAGAATCGTGAAATAATAGTGATAATAAATGGTTGAGATTTATTCATATAATTCTTGTTGCAATATGTTTTCTTATTAATCAGCATTTTTTTTTAATGTAAATTTGAAGACGCATATTATCATTAAAAAGACAATTTCATCCTTATAAGTTCTTTTTAAAAGAATTGTGTTTTTCATTTTTTTTACCAACAAACCAAACCCTTCCTCTCATCCACTACTTCTTTTACACTCTTGGTTTTGCATTGAAGAAGGAGAGAGTATGAGTAACGTCACTGAGAAATTGGGCATCAAGATTGAAACAAACCCATCTGAAGAAACACTCACACAACTTGGTGTTAGACAATGGTCCAAGTAAACCCTCTATTCTCTTTCTATTCCAACATTTTGCATCAATTTTGTATTATTTTTATTATATTTTCATTATTTATTGTTCAGTTTTGTGATTTTGATTTCATGGTTTTGTTGTTAAATTTGAAGGATGATTCTGAGAATGGTTATGTAGAGATGAAAATTGGTTTTGAATTAATTGAATTTAGTGAAAAGTGACTTGAATTTAAAGCGATTTATGTTTTGGTTACATTCATGGAGAAATTTCTCTTACTTAATTTATGATTGGATAGTTTGGACCAAAACTGCTTTTGAGTTTATTCCTATCTATTACTTTAATCAATTTGATTATTTATTTTATGCTACCAAAAAGCTAGAAATCTAAGCTTTAAGTATAATTGAGTTTGTGGCTAGAATAGATTTATGAAGCACGAATACCTCTGAGATTTGACGAATTGGGCGTCTGACACCTATGACACTCATACAATTGATGTCAGAAAATTCAAATTAGTGTCTAAAAAATAGATTTTTTCTTTGATCTGACACCTTTAGGATTAGGCGTGTTGCAGAGCTTGACTCCCGTGTAACATTTTAAAAGGGTTAAAGATGTGTGGAAGCATTGTTGATCAATGAAGAGTTTAAGACATTAATTTCTATTAGAATACTTTTAACTTTTTTAGTAGTAGATGGATAAATGAAGGTCAAATACTATTGAATATTTATATTTAGCAGAGTTAGTGTCCTATGTCTTTTACGTTAGCAGTGTTGACGCGTCTGGGTCCTTGTCGGAGTCCGTTTTTCCTTGGAATCTATTAATAAACTAGAAGCCAAAGCTCCAAACATAACTAGTTTGTGGTCAAACCATGCTTGACCAACCCAAAAGTGATTCTGGAGTGTTTGGCCAAAACAAACATAACCTTTACATGTTTGGATACAAAACAAGGAGTGTTAAACTTGAGTTTTCTCATGTTTAATGTAACTTAAGTAAACATTTAGATGTTTGGTTATTCTGAATCAGCATTGTGTATGGGTGAAAAGTTTCTCCAAGTTTTATGTCAAACTTGCTTTTAGAATACTAAAATCTAAATATAAATTCCTTTACTTCATACTCAACTTTACAACATCCAGTTTATATAAAATCATGTTTTACAAATACTCACAAAAAACAGCTTAATCTATTCCTTCTTATTTTCTCAATTTCTTGAGTTTAGATTCAAAACTCTTGAACTTACTCTATTCTCTTGGGTCATTGAAATCACATTTCGGTTTTTTCGTCTCGATTTTCACATTCAATTCTTTTTCTTCTTTGTTACTTTGATTTTGTTCACTGTTGTGCGATTTTGTTCATGTAAGTTTTTGTAAACTCTTTTGGTTGATAAATATGCGAAAATGCCTACCCAAAAGGTAGTGATGATTGTACGCCACTTCTTGAATAGTCTGATTGATCAAGGCATTTGGCCTAAGTGATACTTATTTTGGAGTTCACAAATATTTAACTTTTTTTTGGTAAAGTCTCATGTTATTAAACTCGGCTGTTCCGGCCGTTATTTTGGCACGGAACAACAAAACCAAGAAAACCACGCCAGACTGTGTTGTTCCGTCACAAATGGGTGACTTGACTGGAACGGCCACAATAATGAGACAAGATTCAGAACAACGACGCTCATGTGATATTACCCTTAAATTTTAAGGGCATTTGCAAGTAATGTTTTGTTTAAGACTTAAAACTTTTACTTCTAAATATAAATACTTCATAAATTTTGATTAGTTTATTTTAGTTTTTAACAAGTTCATTAAAGGGTATAACATGTCAGATACTATCATGTTTAGATACGTGTCAAATGTCTTTTGATTGAAGGCATATCTTTGTCCGACAAGCGTTAGCGTGACGTCGATGTATGTATATACACTCAATCACTTTCATTTTCTCAAATTATTATTAATGTTTCCGTGTCAGTCGTGTTTGTGATTCATAGATGTTTAGATGTATAATATACATAAGTTAGTCATTTGATTTGCATCCATGGTTTATTAGTTCAAAATCCCTTGGTGACAGAAAGTGTACACATTTTGATTTGATTTGCTATGTGTGACCCTATTTTGATGTAACAGATGGGGTTGTCCTCCAAGCAAATTCCCATGGACTTATGATTCAAAAGAGACATGCTATCTTCTAGAAGGAAAAGTTAAGGTAACACCAAATGGAGCAAATGAGTCGGTTGAATTTGGTGCTGGTGATTTGGTTGTATTTCCTAAAGGAATGAGTTGTACTTGGGATGTTTCTGTTGCTGTCAACAAGCACTATATCTTTGAATAACTCATAAATGTGGTTGGTACCTTTCATAAGGACTTTCATGAACTTATTTGGCATTAAAGTTTTTAGTGAAATAAGAACTTTGAAATGCTTGTTAGATTTTGTTGCTAAAAGTGTTGCTCTTATTCTCAAATTGTGTTATCTGGTTTAGATATATCACGAATCACAAATTAAATTAAGTTAATGTGTCTATTTCTTATAAGTTAATGGTGGATTGAGGTCACTAACGTCGCCTTAAACAAACGAAGTCAACAAATTGTACCAAACATCAGTAGATAAAGTGATATTTTTCAGATTAAAAAATTGTGTTGGAATTAGATTTCATTAACTATTACTGTGTCCTTTTTATCAAGTATGTACTTTCAATATTTTAATTCTATCTTCGTTTGTCGCTCACAATAGATTTTCTTGTCTTGACAACGACAATGATACTTACTAAATGTTTGATGTATCGCTCAATTAATCAGTACAATAACATGTTATGTTATAACATTGATTTATGAACGTAAAGCTAGCCATATCTAGCAAGTAGTTTATACCAATGAAGCTATTCTAGATTTCTTAAGTTGAAAGTCAATGTCGAGCACTATCTAAATCAAAAGTTCAAATTCAGAGTTTGGCGTTAGAAAAAGATAAACAACAAAAAATAATTGATCAATATAATGACACAGGGTAGGGTATGTGAATCGGATGTCTTGAAACAATATATAAACGTTTCTTTTTATGATTAAGAAACATACAGGGTTATGGTTAACAAAGAAAACAAAGTAAAACAACAAGAAACAAGGATTGATTATAAATTGTTATTCTTTCCTTTTTCTTAAAAACAAGATTACAAGTATACAAGAATAACAAAATAACCCCTCTCTCTTAAAATTAAGATTTAATCTTCCTATTTTTTCTTATGCCAAGATGAGAGACTAGCATGCTATTTATAAGAAAATTTGCACACTAACCTAATTGGCTTTTTAACAATTACACATTACAAGCTAACTTAGGGTACAAGCTAACTTAAACAATTGGACTTACAAGCAAGACCCAATTCAATATGTTAACAAATCTAGCAATATTGACTAATGCATGTTAGAACAAACTTCAACTACAACACGCATTACTCTGAGAGCAGCATGCGAACAGACTTCGACCTCATATTGTATTCCGTATTAGAGTTCGATACAATATCTCACAAATCTCCACCTTGGATCTAACTCTATAACATCAAGAAATTAGCTTTCTTCATGCAACTTTATCAAGTGCATACAGTGGAAAAACTTGCAACTGAGCAACGTTTTGGTGATCATATCAGCAACATTATGATATGTCGAAACCTTCAGCACTTGGACTTCTCCACGCTCGATTACCCCTTTGACAAAATGCAGCCCCACATCAATGTACTTGGTTCGCTCATGATAGGCTGAATTCTTCGACAGGTGTATTGCACATTGACTATCACATTTAACAGTGATAACTCGACCTTGAAGTTTCAGCTCTTTTGCAAAACTCTCAAGCCATGATGCTTCCTTCACAACTTCAGTTAGGGCGATATATGCCGCTTCAGTGGTTGATAAGGCAACGACCTTCTGAAGTGTAGCTTTCCAACTGATTGTTATCCCAAACATAGTGAACACATATCCAAAAATAAATTTTCTGGAATCCATTCAACTTGCATAATCAGAGTTGACATATCCTTCGATTGCTGCTTTACTATCTTCACCCAAGGCTCCACCATAAATTAGGACTCTATTCAAAGACCCATTTATGTACCTTAGAATCCATTTCAATGCTTGCTAGTGAGCCTTTCCAGGATTCTCCATATACCTGCTTACAAGACTTACTGCATATGTTGTGTCAGGTCTAGTACAAACTATAGAATACATCAAAGAACCCATTGTATTAGCATATGAAATGCTATTCATATAATCTCTTTTGATATCAGTACTGGTATACTGATGTATACTCAGCTTTAATTGAGAGTTTGTCGGAGTCACAACAGGCTTTGAATTCGACATACCAAATTTTTCGAGAATCTTCCATATGTGTGCCTCTTGAGATAAGCATAATTTTGACTGCTTTCTATCTCTTCGGATGTCAATCCCAAGAATCCTACACGTAGATCCCAGATCCTTCATGTCGAACTCCTTATTGAGTTCAGCCTTCACCCTCATTACCTCTTCGACATTGTTGCTTGCAATTAGAATATCATCCACATAGAGCAACAAAATAAAAAATGAATTATCCGGTCAAACTCTGAAGTAAACACAGTGGTCGAACAGACTTCTGATGAAACTTATGTGTGTCATGAACTTGTCGAATCTCCTATTCCACTGTCGAGGAGATTGTTTCAGTCCATATAAAGATCTCTTCAGTTTGCACACATAATCGTCCTTCCCCCTTTCGACATACCCTTCAGGTTGCCTCATAAGGGTTGTTTCATTTAGATCACCATACAAGAACGCAGTTTACACATCCATCTGTTCCAGTTCAAGGTCGAACTAGGCCATCGTGGCAAGCAATATTCGAATGGATCTGTGCTTCACAACAGGAGAGAACACATCATTGAAGTCGACACCTTCTTTCTGAGTGAACCCCCTAACGACCAATCTTGCCTTGTATCTCTTTGACGCCACTCCTTCAATTCCTTAACTCTGAAAATCCATTTACAACTGACTAACTTGGCTTCAGCAGGTTTCTTGATTAGTTCCCAGGTGTTGTTATCATAAAGAGATTTCATCTCATCATCCATGGCCTTCAGCCATTTAGTCTTCTTTCGACTCCTTATAACTTCCTTATAATCTCTAGGTTCTTCGTCTAGAACCTCACTTGCATAAATTAAGGCATAAGTTATAAGATCTGCATACCCAAGTCTCTGAGGTGGCTTGATGACTCTCCCCGACCTGTCTCTTGCTAGCAGGTAGTCATTATCAGTCTCCTCATCTTCGACAACATCTTCTGCGTCTTCTTTGACTTCATCTAGGATACGTAATTCAACATCAACATGTTCCACCTCAACAGGAATCTCTCCATGTTCCAGCTCTTCGTCAACATCATCAGTTTTCTTGAAATATGCTTCATTGAAAACTACATGTCGACTAGTGATACACCTCCTGTAACCTGGCTCTAGGAACCATAACCTATAAGCTTTGACTCCTTCTGGGTATCCCATGAACATGCATTTCAGAGCTTTATGTTCGAACTTGTCCCGACCAAACTTCTTCAGGTGTCTTCATTCCCAAGGCAGTCGAGGGACATATATTTATCAGATAGGTTGCTGTCGAAACAGCCTCCGCCCAAAACACCTTCTTCAATCCAGCATTAACCAACATGCATCTAACCCTTTCAATGATTGTTCAATTGAATCTCTCAGCTAAGCCATTTTGTTGAGGAGTACCTGCTACAGTCTTATGCCTTGCAAACCCAGACTCAACACAGTAACTGTCGAACGCTTCGTTGCAGAACCCAAGGCCATTGTCAGTTTTCAACCTCTTGACCTTTTATGCCAGTTTGAGTTTCGACCAAAACCTTCCAACTTTTGAAATTCTCAAAAGTTTCATCCTTCGTCTTCTGAATGAATACCCATAGCTTTCTGGAATAGTCATCAACGATGGATAGAAAATACCTTGCACCTGAGTGTGAAGGATTCCTTGCAGGTCCCCAAAGATCAGTATGAATGTAATTCAGGGATCCATGTGTTCTTTGCTTGCCTTTGTTAAACTTCGTCCTACAGGATTTACCAAATACACAAGATTCATAAAACTCCAACTTTTCGACTTTGTCACCTCCTAGCATGTTCTGCTTCCCCAATTCGACCAGGCCTCTTTCGCTGACATGGCCCAATCTCATGTGCCATAATTCTGTCTTCGACACAGGTTTCGTGGATGCAACATTTTCGAACCACTTACAACCTTAGCCTCAAGGATATACAAGCCTTGTTTCTTCACGTCTCTCAAGACTTCCTTCGACCCCTTCATGACTCTTAGGATACTTTTCTCTCCTTGAAAAACATATCCCTTTTTGTTGAATTCACAAGAGAAATCAAATTTATCTTCAAATCAGGTACATATCTGAATCCAATCAATAACCTTATTGACTCATCATGGAACTTGAATCTCACAAATCCAATACCTTCAATTTTGCAAGATTTGTTGTTTCCCAGCAGCACTGATCCACCATCTTAATTACATAGCTCCTCGAACAATTCTTTGTTTGGAGTCATGTGCCAAGTGCAACCTGAATCCATAATCCACTCTTTTCTTGAGTCGCCACTTGAAACCACAAGGACATCAGATGAGTCAAAATCATCTTAAACAATGGTTGCGTTTCCATTATCCTTACCTTCACGACCTTTCAGGAATTCAGGGCACACCTTTCTTGTGTGACCCTCCTTCTTACAGTGATAACATCGAATACCAGATGTTTTTCCACTATAAGACTTATGCTGACTTTTACCTTTCTTATTGTCTAACTTACCATTCTTTCACAAGAATTTTCCCTTAACGGCCAAACCTTCGGCCACCGTCGAAGGTTTATTCTCCTTTCGTTCGTTCAAGTCCTTAAAAATAAGGCTGATTGAACTTCTTCAAAGCTCAAGGACTCCCTTCCATACAAGGGAGTTTCTTTAAAGTGAGCATATGTTCTAGGCAAAGCACACAACAACAATAGTGCTTGATCTTCACACTAATATTTTCAAGATCAAGAATCAGCTTGTTGAACATATCCAACTACTCAGCCAACACTTTGTCTTCACTCATCTTGAATGAATACAAAGCTTGCTTCAGGTAGAGTTGATTCACCAGAGATTTGATCATGTACAAACTTTCAAGTTTTACCCATAATCCCGATGTTATAGTCTTCTTTGATACCTGTCGAAGAACCTTATCACCAAGGCTTAACAATATTGCGTTGTGCTTTCTCAATCATGGTCATATTTTATTTTGTCGTTAACGCATCATCCATAGCTGCCTCTCCCTTCAACGCTTCCAAACAACCCTGCTGAACCAGTAGGG